GTCTCTGCCCTTGCCTAAGCAGGGGCTTTAGAAGGCTGAACTATCTCGCTGGCCCATCCCTTTATTTTTAGCATCTGATTTACCCAGAAGGTTTGTGCTGGCAACAAGACTCAGTATCCGTACAGCCTGGTCTATTATTTATTGGATGGGACTGGCCAGGGCCTCCCACCTAAGACATGTTATCTAAACACGTGAACCTCAGCCATCCTTTTTTCCTTCACACCTCTCCCACCTGCCAAGCCCTGAAATCTGCTTGACTCAGTTTCAGCCCTGCTGCTAAGTTCTCTGTCTTTCATTAGCAAGGCCCATACCCAAGTTCTTGGGGTAAGAGAACAGTAAGAAAGTTGAAATGTAAAGCCCAAAACAGCCTTTTGAAGAGAAGTGAAATTGGGACAGGACCTTCTCGCTAATGAATAGTTGAGAGATCCCAGCAGCTACCAGGTCTCCTGATAAGGGACCAGAGGTGAGGAGTCAGAACTTAAGTCTACTCTGTTCTCTGTGCACCTCCGGGATTCCGCCCCTCCATAGCCCCACACAGCCAGAGGACGCTAGACCTGGACAGGCCCAGTCCGCCCAACTCTTCACTCCGTAGTATACCCTATCCACTGAATCACAACACAGCTCACATTTTTAAATCCAACTATTTATTAATAACATAAATATAACAACTTTCATCTCTCTTTTATATGCTGGTACCTAGAAATGTTAACAGAGAAAAGTATGTTTCGCCTTCCAGAGTCTCAGTCTTTTCTTCGGGAGCACACATCGGCTCTTTTCACTGACTGTCTGGAATTTCCTCTACACTGGTGGTCTGTGACCCTGGACATAGTGCTCAGGTATGGCCGTGTCCTGATCGTTGGATGCTTCTGCATTTTCATTTTTTTTTTCATAGCACAAAACTGGTGAAAATGAATAACGTTTTGCTAGAGCCAGTGGTGAACTGCTATTGGCATTTTCCTTGTATCTCTGTAGAAAAATCTTCCCTTTGCCTAAAAAATTCTTCCTAGGAGCAGGAGAACACTTGAAGTATTGCGAACCCCTCCACTGTCTCACTCTGATCTATCCCAGCACACATGCTGTCTCATCAGCGTTGGATTATTTTGTGAAACTCTGCAGCATCTGCTACAATTGCCGAAGCATGGATCCCCAGCGGAGCGAAGTTCTTCCATAGTGGCCCAGTCTGATGCGGGAGACACTGAACTCCGTGGCCTTCTGGGCCACACTACACCTTAGCAGTTACTCAACTAGGTTCCTCCGTGAACCAAGTCTAGGCCCACTGACTGGGGCTGACGGCCCTTGAAGAGGGTCAAGTGGATAGCACCAAAACAGTACAGAACTCAGACAGAAGCTACCTGGTCCTTGCTTTTTCCCTCCTGTACTTAATATTCTTCCTCTGCAGCTCCAGATGGCTTCCTCTCTGCATGTTGCTCTCTCCTGGAAAGATCTTATTATCATTGTCTGTACAGCCCCAGACCTTCGTCCTGTATTTACTGTGTTCACTCACACCTGTGTCCACATAGTTCAGAGCAGGGCTGGCAAAATGAGGGGCCCAGTAGGCCATGCATATTTACGGGGAAAGAATTAATGGGCATTTGAATGAATGAAACAAGGAGATATACTGGACCGCCCACAGAAGTACCAGTTTCCTACCTGACACTATGGCACATGGATGCAAAAGAGAGAAAGAGCAAATTCTACAGTTGAGGAGCTCTGAGATGACCCAGTGATCTCTATGGAGCAAAGGGCATGAGTCCAAAGGCTCATGACTTTTATTGGCATGAATCAAGGAGGCGGGTGGGGGTCATGGCAGAGTGCTAGGGAAGAGAAACTTTGCAGGTTTTGGCTATGAAAAGAAACAAACAGCAATTTTGCACCAGGCACTGAATTCACAGTTCTACCCAAAGTGAGGTTCGCATCACTCTGTCATTGTGAAGGGTTTTGTCCTGATGACTTCCCCAACATCCATGTGGACAGTGATGTGACGGAAAATGGCTTGGATGCAAATAATCACTGAACTGGGAACTGAAGCCAGACTGTAACACACGGTCTTGTACTGACACACTGGTTGTACTGACACACTGGTTGTACTGACACACTGGTTGCATTTCACAGTCACCAATTCCACATTTCTCTGAGAAAATGGGGGTTAGACTCGTGGATCTCTGAAATCCCTTCTGCCCTTAATTATTTGTGACCTTCCATTCTACAAAAAGAAAGGTCCAGGCAAGAGCTCAGCAGATGAACAGAGACATCCATCTCTCAAGAAATTAAATGTTTGAGTTAAAGAAAGCCACTGACTATAATTTGTGCAAAATAAGGAAGTGCAGTTTCGTTTAAAGAGCTATGTGTCTCAGTCAGTAAAACAACTTATTTTCTTTGTCTTGGATCAAGGGTCACCAAGCCTTGGAATCATTCAAGTTCTAAAAACTACGAAGCCAGACTTTTCTGACCTCTACTTTAATTGACTTGTGCTGTAATTATTAACTAATTTATTTTGCAAGTTATTGATTAGACTGAATCATTGCATCATGGCATGCAACCAGGAAACGTTGGTGTGCGGGGTTGTCATGACCATCTGGCTTGGAGGACAGGCTACAAGATGCAGGGGATGTGGTTCTAGCTGTGGGGCACCACCTGCAGGCTCTATGTCCCCAGCCACGGCGCTGAATCTGCAGCTCTAAAAGTGGGAACTGTTTTACTTTAGGCAAAGGAAGATGAAAAACTCTAAAGAGGTACAATGAGTATGAAAGTTCTCTGTGAATTTTCAAGAGTCTCTGGGAACGTGATTGACGACACACTGTGTATTTGAAGTCTTGACAATAACCTCATTTTTTCCTTACTGCACTTTGAAATAACTATAGTAACCCAGCATTATTGACAATAGCCAGGCTGTGGAAATGACTTGATGGCCATGAGCAGATCAATGGCTAAATAAACTGTAATATACATGTGTACAATATAATATTATCCAGTCTCTGAAAGGAGAGATACCATCTGTGACAGCAAGGAGGCAGCTGGAAGACATCAGCCTAGATTAAGCAGACTAGACATGGGGAAGTACCAGGGCTGATCAAAATGTATACTGAACATTGGAAAAAAGATAGCAAAGGACACATCGCTGTTAATTCCCTTCAAAATCTTCCTTCTTTCTTCAAATACATTTGTCCCATAATTCTTTCTCCTTAACCAAAGCAGTTCTACAAGGCTTCTTTTATGAGTATTTTTAAAAAAACTATTTGTTGATACAGGGTGTTGCTACACAGTGCAGACTCGTAGTGATCCTCCTGTCTCAGCTTCCCCAGTGCTAGAGTTACAGGCACGAGTCACCCCACCAAGTTAGAGTGGCCAGCGTGGTTTTGCCTGTGTTCCAAGACCCGCACAGCATGGCGGTACTAGGTATCAAACCCGGGTCCTTGCGCTTGCTAGGCAGGCACTTAGACCGCTGAGCTGTCTCCCCCATACCTTTATGAGTATTTTAAGAGATGTGATCAAAATGCACATCTGTGCATTTTGCACGCTGCTTCCTGCCGCTATCCAACACAGAGGCAGGCTAGGAAAACATTCAGGAGTCCTTATTTGCCTTATTCACTGCATGGAGCCTTGTGTCACTTCCAGCTCTTCCCCAAAGTCCAAATGACCACAAAGGTAAACTTCTGAATCGATTCAGGTCCTCAAGGCTGCTACGCCAGCACCCCTAGAGACACCCACGAAGGAGGACTTGCAGAACTGCTTCCGAGGATGACAAAACAGCGCGATGGGAGTGTCTGAAGTGAGGGAGAGTAGCTTGACTGAGAGTGAGGGCGATGTGTTTTCCTGTAATTGAAACAATTGAAACACTAACTTATCAATCGCAGTTTATAATGTATGATCTCCTTGTGCTTAATCAGGAAAAAAGTGAAATAGTAGAAGCAGAGAGTAGAATGGTCATTACTGGAGTGCAGAGGAGGAAATGGACAAGTGCATGAGCGGTACAATTTGCAGTTGGGACGGAGGAATAATTCTAGAGATCCAAAGCACAGCATGAGGATTAGAATTCATATTTTATTGTATATAGGATATTTTCTAAGGTAGATTTCAGATGCTCTTACTCCAAAAGAGAAGGTTGCTATGTAAGGTGATTGGAGATGTACCTTAGAATGTAGTAATCATTTTGTTATATATGACAAAACATCATGGTATTTATTTATGTATTTATTTATTTATTTATTTGGTACAGGGTCTTTCTACTCAGCTTGAACTTGTAGTTATCTTCCTGTCTCAGCCTCGCCAGCTCTGGGATTACAGGTGTGCGCCACAACCCCCAGTTTCTGTGGCAGGCTCGGCAGCACGGCATACAGTACTAGGGACTGAACCTAGGTGCTTGCGCTTGCCAGGCAGACACTTAGACTGCTGAACTAACTCCCCAGCCCCCCAATATCCATATATTTCAACAGTTTTATTACCCTATTTTATCCAGGAACATCTCTCCCACTACAATTCTGAAAAATGTTTCCATTCGCTCTGGGGCAGAAGTCCACGGTTCCTAAGTTTAACATTACCAAGGAGAGGGAGGGGGAAAGAGACACATCTATGAGTAAGCAGGATAGTTTGGACAACTGTACGGTGCATTTCTGCCAGCTATGGAAAAGAGCAGCTAATGCTTAATTTATTTGGTCTCCTTTTTTTTTTCTTAATTTCTTTCTTTTGTTTTTCTTCTTCTAATTTTACATGCATATATCTGATAATATGAATAGCTGGTTGGAAGTCAACACAATGAGCTACAACAAATACTGTGAAATTCATATGACTCTGTTAAGTGCAATTCTGTACCACTTGTAATTTTTGTTTTAATACGATTTTGTGCTTTTCAAAAATAATAAAAAAGCCAGAAAGTCAATCAAATGGGGGGGAAATCAATCAGAAGCCAGCAAAGCAGACGAATTTGTTCACGTTTCCCCTTGGTTACTGTTCCGGGTCCTGGCGCTGTTTGTCACGGTTCCTGTTCCCGTCCTCTCGGAAGCTCAGGCCCCCTTTCTGCCTGTGCTTTCTGCTTGTACTTCATTCCTGCGCTCCTGAGGCGACCCGCAGAGCGGCGGGGTACCGCCGGCCCGGGACCGAGCTCGGCGCGGCCGCTGGACCCGCTCCGCACAGCGCGCAGCCCCGCGCCAGCCGCGTCCGCCGGGACGGCCCCGCGCACGCCCGCCGAGCGCCTGCCGCGCAGCAGCGGAAGTCGGTGGGAGACCGCAGCGTGGGAGGACCGCGGCCGGCCGGACGAAAGCTCCCGGGAAAGGGCGGGGAGGACAGATTCGCCGAGCGGAGGCCGCGCTCGCTCCGGCGGAGCCCCGCGGGGAGGGACCGCGCAGGGAGGACGGGGTCGGGGACACACTGCTTCTCCTCTCTTCTCTAGGGAGCGTGAGGCGCAGTGGCGGTGCGACTGCTTTGGGGTTTTGTTTCACTTTGCTGACTTTTCTTTTTCTTGGCGGAACCGGGGATTGAACTCAGATCACTACGTTTGCCAGCCAAGCGCTTATCCTACTGCGCCTTCTCCGCGGCCCTTTGCTAACTTTTCTTCAGGCCGCTGTGCTGAAGCCTCCTGCGGCGGCGGGCGAGCTAGCCGGCCGGCTGAGCGCGGGCGCAGGCGAGCGCAGGGCCAGGGTGTGATCCTCGGCCCCACACCCGCGCGGCCCGCCGTCTGGTCACCAGTCGGTGAATCGCAGTTGAACGTTCCGGTCTTTTGCACGAGTCTCCAGGGCGGGGCAGTGGAAGGAGAGCCCGAGGCGAGCACACCTGATTTTTATGTTTTTCAGTGGGCCGAAGTTCACTGAAAGTGTGTTGAGCTGATTGGTCACTTGGATATCAAAGAGCTACGTGCGGAATTAGCAGGAGGTGACATAAAAGCTCTGGATTGCAAGCTCAGGGCAGCTTCAGAAAGGGAAGGCGGGATGGACGCCGTGGTGATCCTGGTGCTCGGTGTCTCCTGTCTGCTTCTCCTCTCACTCTGGAGACAGAGCTCGGGGAGAGGCAAGCTTCCCCCCGGCCCCGCTCCTCTCCCACTCGTTGGAAACATCCTGCAGATAGACGTCAGAGACATCAGCAAGTCCTTCGCCAGTGTAAGTAGGCTTTAAGCTCCTCCTCTAATGGCTTGCAGAGGGCAGGTAATTAGCTTCTTCCTTTTAATAAAACATATTACTAGCGGGGAAATTATTAAACTATGTTATTGCAACTCAAATATCCCCTGTGATTATTTTTGGTGTGTTATTGTCAGAAAGAGCAGAATTGTGTGTGTGTGTGTGTTTTTCCTAGGAGACTAATATTTAAATTATAGAGTCAAAATAGTAAAGTGCTGTTAGCCTTCATTTCAGTCACCTTTTGCCCTAAAATAAATGGCAGTAGAAGTGTTTGAATTAGAGGTTATTAACGCACCAGGTCATTAACTCTACCTGTGGCGTGTCCGTTTACATTAGCCACGGGAGCTAAACTTCTTCCCAGAAGCGAATTAGGTTTGATGTCAAGGAAGTTCCTGTGGGTTTACCACAAACGTGTGAATGAAAGAAAGAATTACAAGGGCCAGTCGATGGTGCTAGAGGTCATTTGCCGGACACAGAGTTCCTGTCTGTGACGTACCAGCATACAGCAAGGAGGAAACGGTCCTGTAGGATGATGCTACCGCTGCTGTCGGCTTTTTGAAAGAGTTAACCAACAGATCTCTCATTCAGGGAAATTTTTTAAAATGAGCTAATTTGAGCTCAAATTTGAGTCTTCTATTTTTTTTTAATTTTTTTTTAAAATTTTATTTATTTGTGTGTGTGTGTGTGTGTGTGTGTGACCAGCTCAGCCCACCAGGGGGCAGGGCTGGCTGGCATGTGGTGCTGGAGGATTGAACTGCGGTCCCTTTGCTTTGCTAAGCTTGTTCTTAAGTAGGTGCTTTAGACCACTGAGCCATCTCACCAGCCCGAGTCTTCTATTTATTTATTTATTTTTTTTTTCTCAATGTTTTATTGACAAAGAGATAGCAATGAGACAGTTTCAAATCAAATCGGAAGGACAGTTTCAACAAATAATACACTGCATATATTCTTCTTAGTGGTTAATTGCTGTACAAGATGCGGACTTGTGATCCTATTCACAAACACCATTAGAACAAATCATTCTATTCATTAAGAGAATGCAACTATATATCTATCCCAACCTCTTTGAATACACAGATACAAAATGGACATTCATCGGTATACCCCATTATTTCTAAGTTACATTATTGAATATTATAGGTGTGTAAACTCAGCAAAATATTCTAAAAGAGTCCAGTAGCCTATAATAGCATTGGGTCTTATATTTAACTGGCAATGTCAGAAATTATTGACCTGAGTAAGTCTTCTATTTATTACTATGAAATACTGAAATGAATTTAAAATTCACTGACCCTCACTCTCTTGTAAAACAGAGTAAATATTCCAAGTTGTTCATTAGTTGTGGAAGTCTGCGCAGCCATGTTCCCGACCATTTTGAGGAGACAGGAATCCTTTATGTGGCAGCGATGACAGTCTCTGTCTTATTTGTTTTTGCACACCAGAAAAAATTGGATTTGTGTTTGATAGACTAAACAATACTAGCAATATGATGACAACATTGGGGTTAGGTCTTTTTTTTTTCTTTTTTTTATTTTTTTGCGGTACCGGGGGTTGAACTCAGAGCCCTGCGCTTGCCAGGCAAGCGCCTGTTCTGCTGAGCTATCTCCCTGGCCCTGAAGACCACATTGGAATGAATTGCCCAAAGGCAAAGGCCGAATGCTGACGTCCCTCCCTCGCTGTCCTTGCCGCTGTTGCTTCCCACCGCAGCTCTCCAAGGTCTACGGCCCCGTGTTCACCCTGTACTTGGGCATGAAGCCATCCGTGGTGCTGCACGGATACGAAGCTGTGAAGGAAGCCCTGATTGACTTCGGGGAGGACTTTGCTGGCAGAGGCAGCTTCGCAGTATCTGAAAGAGTTAATAAAGGCTTGGGTACGTTGTCCTCTGCGCCGCCCGTGGGCCGGCGCCTGCGTGTGCACGTGCACGCGAGCGTGTGTGTGTGTGTGTGTGTGTGTGTGCGCGTGCGCGCGCGCGAAGGGCAGGGGTTGGGGCATGAGTCCGGAGGAGACCGCGGGCCGTTCTCGGCCACCCTCGTGGCTTCCGCCGCTCAGCTTCTCCTCCTTGCTAGCGCTTCTTTCCAGTTTCTGTTTCCGCTTCTGCCAGGGATCCTTTTTAGCAATGGAAACACATGGAAGGAGATGCGACGCTTTTCCATCATGACCCTGCGGAATTTTGGGATGGGGAAGAGGAGCGTCGAGGACCGCGTTCAGGAGGAAGCGCGCTGCCTGGTGGAGGAGCTGAGAAAAACCAACGGTGGGTGACTGCTCTCTACCTCGGACGTCAGCCTCCTTCTTCTTGGCGCCGTTTCAGACGTCTCAGAGGCAGCCAGGTGTTTCATTAAGGGTGCCGGCTCGCGGTCCTCGCGTGCCGCAGGGTGGTGTGTGCCAGGGGGCAGGGGAACTTCTGGGCACCCCGGTTGTTTTGTGTACAATAACAGGCACAGTCGGTATGGGGTAAGAGGCCATTTCATGCTATTCTGTGGCCAGCCTTGCTGTTCCAAATCATTATGCCACAAAACAGAAGATTTGGATCTCATTTTTCAAATAGTTAAAGCATAATGCGCCCCCTTCCCCTGCAGTGTAACTGTGGGCTATTGTGGACATTTCAGGGAGGACTGCTTGGCAGGCGGGCACATTGTGGCGATCCCTTGTGGCGCAGGAGACAACTGACACGTGCTTTTTCAGCAGTGCTGCTGTTTGTGCTGTGGGCCTCGGCCTGCCGCGTTTGCAGGATTCTGTCAAGGTCCGAGCTGACAATTTTTACCAGTAATGGCATGCGTCTGTGATCTTTAGTTCCCTGCAGGCGCCTTTCATATCTCCTCATCAGCTATGCAGAAACTGTCAGCTGGAGTAATTTAATGTCACTATTTTATGGTATTTTTATATGTATGAACATATCTATCTATCTATCTATATAGGGTCTACAAGGTGTTCAGGGGTCTCACTACTAGATCAGACTTGTAGTGATACGCCTGCTTACAGCCTCCCAAGAACTGGGATTACTAGCCGTGCATTACGCCCAGTCTCAGTTGCCATCTCGGTGCACCCTGGGGGCGGGATGGCATGGCACACATGGGTATGGAACCCCCGGCCCCTGCGCCTGCTTTAATCCGCTGAATTATTTGGCGGGCCCTTGTATTAACATAATTTAAGATGCATTACAAACTATAAAAGAACTATAAAAGAACCAAGTTACAACATGATTTATTGATCTAAATTCCACCCATCGTTAACTTTTTACTGCATCATTCCTAATTGTGGCCTGACTGTTTTTTACTTTTCCCTATATTAGCCTGTCTTTATTTGTGTATTAATCGTGTTTTTCATTTCCTATATCTTCTAATGCTTTGGCATCATTCCTAGAGAGCACGGATCTTTCCTTCTGTATGCCTTTGATGTACAAATCAACCTACCTTAGTTCGCAACCCTGGCCAACTTCTTTTTCAAACTCTCGCATACCCAGTATTCTTGTTCAAGTCACTCCAGGGCTGGTCATAGGATGCCCTCTCCCCAGGGCCCAGAGGCCCCAGGAATAACTCAAGCCGTCCAATCCGAAGCTTACTCTGCATGCCCACCCTGTCTCGTTCATTCCTTTCCATGCGAATTGCGGTAAAGGCCCGGCTGGCTTCCCGTCCGGACCGCAGCCACACTTCCGGGTGTGCTGCCCACTTCACTGCAGTGTGGCAGGTCCCCGTCCTGGCGAATGAGTAGCGATCCCATTTTCAAGCGGCTGTCCCTTCAAAGGCAGCCTGATTTGTTGATCTCATCGTATCTGAGTAAAAGTGTTTGGATGAATTTGAGAGCAATTGGAATTCGGGTTAGACGTTTTATGAGAATTAATTACTCCTGACCATCAGTTCTACTTATCTGTTTGCCATAAGTCTGATTTTTCAGCTCGGGTTATGTATTATGCTGATATTTAATTATGTGTCCTGGGGCTGGTGAGATGGCTCAGTGGTCTAAGGCACCTACTTAGAACAAGCTTAGCAAAGCACAGAGACCCCGTTCAATCCCCCTGGACCACATGCCAGCCAGCCCGCCCCCTGGTGGGCTGAGCTGGCCACACATACACACACATAAATAAATAAAAAATTAAAAAAAAAAAAAAGAAAGAAAAAAAAATTATTTGTCCTAAATGAAGTAAAAGGGAAGATGAAGAGCCAGATTTTCACTGGGAATCTCTCTCTGGCTCTCTCTCTCTCTCATAAACACATACACTTCAAATTAATATTTCCAAAGTGTTCCATATCTTCTAGGCTGAAATAGTTTTTTTTCTGAACATTTACTGTCCTGGTATGTTTCAGCTAAAAAACAGCCTGACGTAAGAGCAGTCAAGTGTGACAGGGGTGTCTGTTACTGAATTCCTTACCATTTCTGCAAATATTTTTAAAAATTGACACATGATAACTATATAAATACCTACAATTGACACACACCTATATAGTTTGCAACAATTAAATCAGAGTAATTAGCATTCCCATCTTTCTAAAATATTTATCAATTTTTATATTAATCCATGTTAGTAATTTTGAACGGAGATGCTCATTTTGGGGAATTGGTACCTGCGTATAAGTTATCTGCTTAGATAAATAGGGCTGATGGTCAGGGGTGAATAATTACCACAGAGCTTCTCGGTCATTTCAGTCCCTTTACCCACCTCTCCCTTTCCTTCCACTTGACCTTATCCCTCCCTGACTCCAGCAGCTTACATCCTGGTTTTCTTTTCTTTTTTTTTTTTTTTTCTGGAACCCGGGACTGAACTCAGGCCCTTGTGCTTGCCAGGGAAGTGCTTGTTCCACTGAGCCATTTCCTTGGCCCTTGGTTTTCTACTCTCTCTCCTTTGTTTCATACATTCACTTATTTACATTTTAGGTTTCTCATATAAAACAAGACATACAATGTATAACAGTACATAACCTTCTGAGTCCAGCTTATTCCATTTCACTTCAGGTCTCCAGGTCCACCCATTTTCCTGCCAATGAGATGACTTCCTTCTCCTTTATGATTTAATACCCCATTTATCTATGGCACATCTCCTTTATCTGTTTGTTGGTTGACAGGCATCTAGGCTGTCTCTAGAGTGTAGCTGTTTGAATTGTGCTGTTATAAACAGGTGTACACACGAAACACTATAATATGTTGTCTTTTTTTTTTTGAAGTATACCTGGGAATGGTATAGCTGCATCAAATGATATTTCTGTTTTTAGATTCTTTTTTTTTTAATTTATGTATTTGGTACAGTTTCACTATGCAGCTCGGATTCATAGTGATCCTTCTGTTTTCAGCCTCCCGAGTGCTGGGATTATAGGCATGTGCCACCATGCCCTGTCTCAGTGACACTCAAGGGTCACAGCACATTCAAGGGTGGGGCTGGTGTGGCATGTGGTACCAGGGATCGAACCCTGGTCATTGCTCTTCCATCGAGCTATCTCGTTGATTTTCTACTTGTGTGGGTTTTTTTTTTTTGTTGTTGTTGTTTTGTTTTTGTTTTTGGGTGGAACCAGGGATTGAACTCAGGTCCTTGCGCTTGCCAGGGAAGTGCTTATTTCACTGAGCCATCTCCCTGGCCAAAATTACTACTTGTGTTTTTGTTTGTTTGTTTGTTTGTTTGTTGTTGTTGTTGTTGTTTTTCGTTGGCTTTCCATACTGACCAAAGAGGCTGAACTATTTTACAACCCTTCCAACTTTATATATTTAAATTTTCCCTCTGTATTTTAGCCAGCATATATTCTTTTTCTGTATTCTTCATGATAGCTCTGGTGACTGGGGTGAGACGGAGCCATATTAGAGTTTTGATTTGCATTCTTTTAATGCCTAAAGATGTTGAACATTTTTTCATATATTTATCAACCATTTATACTACTTTTTATTTATTTTTTGTCTTTTTTAAAAATTTTGATCAGGGCCTTGCTAAGCAGTTCAGGCTGGCCTTGAGCTCACTTTGTAGCCCAGGCTGGCCTTGAACTCCCAGCAATCCTCTTGCCTCAGCATCCTGAGTGCTGGGATTACAGGCTGCATCCCCACGTCCAGCTATGCTACTTCTTTTGAGAGGTATCTATTCAGTTCATTTGTCCATTTACTGAATGAATTTCCTGTTTTTTTTTGCATTTTACTTTTTTTTTTCAAATCAAATTGAGAGGACACTTTCAATAATTAGCACATTGTATACTTTCTTCCTAGTGGTTATTTGCTGTACAAGATGCGGACATGATATCCTATTTACAAACACTATTAGAACAAATCCCTCTATTCATTAAGAGAATGTAACTGTATATCTATTCTAACCATTCTGAATACACAGATACAAAATGGACATTCATGGGCCTGGGGAGATGGCTCAGTAGAATAAGCGCTTCCCTGGCAAGTGCAAGGGCCTGAGTTCAATCCCTAGTTCCACAAAAAAAAAAAAAAAAAAAAAAAAAAAAAGAGAAAAAGGACCTTCATCTGTATCCCCTTTATTGTTTAGTACTGTCATTTGAATATTATAGTTGTGTGAACTCAGCAAACTATTCTCAAAGAGTCCAGTAGTCCATAGTAGTATTGGGTCTTCCGCTTCACTGGCAATGTCAGAAATTGTTGACCTGAGTCCCCTATAGCTCAGCATAACACCATGGCTTTACTTCTCTCTTTATGTATATTTAAATATTATTTAAAAGCAGTAATACATTATTCATTTTTCTTACATGAGTTGAACTATTGTTGTACACGATAAGACTGATACTTATCCTCCGGGGAGGAAAATGCATGCGATCTTCTGGGAATTATCATTTCCTCTGCAGTTCTTCTGCTTCCTAGAAATGTATGTATGATTAAAAAGAACCTGTTTTAAATTCTAAATTTGCATGTAGAATTAAAATGTTATCATATACAATCTTGTAAATGATTATTTACAGTCCTATTAAATAGCAGTCCTATTAAAATTGAGCTTATAGTATAAAATAAATAAACCGAGGGCTGGCCAAATAGCTCAGCGGATTAAAGCTCCTGCGAGCAGGGGCAGGGACCAGAGGTTCAATCCCCAGGCCTGCTGTGCTGGCCCTGCCACAGGGTGCACTGAGACAGGAACTGAGCCTGGGCGTGGAGGTGCCACCTGTAATCCCAGCTCTTGGAAGGCTGCAAACAGGCGGATCACTAAGAGTCCGATCCAGTAGTGAGACCCTGAACACCCTGTAGACCCCTCCCCAAAGTACAAAAAAATAAAGGAATAAATAAATAAATGAATGAAATGAAGGTCTCTTTAGTCATTTCAGGCTGCCATACATAAGAAATTTCATACATTTTTATGAATTTAAAGTAGGGTCTACAGAGTACACAGGATCTCACCACATAAACTGGGCTCGTAGTGATCCTCCTTTTTTAAAATTTTTATTTATTTATTTATTTGTGTGTGTGTGTGTGTGTGTGTGTGTGTGGCCAGCTCAGCCCACCAGGGGGCGGGGCCAGCTGGCATGTGGTGCTGGGGGATTGAACCGCGGTCTCTGTGCTTTAGCTTAGCTTGTTCTAGGTAGATGCTTTAGACCACTGAGCCATCTCACCAGCCCTCTCTCTATTGTCTAATTGCTCTGGATAATGTTTCCAGAACTATATTGAATAAGAGTTGTGACAGTGGACATCCTTGTCTTATTTCTGATTTTTAAGTGCATTTGTTCTGGGTGGGCGTTGGGTTTCCTCCATATGTTTCTACATTTGATTCTTTACTGCAGATGCTATTAATTGAGGGATTTCTTTTTTCATTTCCAATCTGCGTTCCTCTATACCTTTCTGCAGTTGTTTCTTTATTTCAGAAGCTATTGATTCATTGATTTCAGCTGTGTGATTCCCAATTTGTTCTGTGTTAGTGTCCTCTGCACTTGTTATGGGTGGGCTTGTGGACTGAGATTTCATTTTGCTCCTTCTCGTCGTTTTGTGTAGCACTGCCTTCTGACCTTTGTTGTAGAGCTTTGGTGCAGTTACAACCTTAGCACCTACTGAAGTTCAGGTGCAGAGCTACAAAGTTTGGATTTATCCTGCTGTGCCTGGCTTGGGTCTGGCTGCTGTGCTCAGCTCCTTCCTGCTGCCACCCTTGGGAGTGAACCTGTTGTGCCCCTCTGGCAAGATGTTCTGCTCCTGGACTAGCTGGATATTTCTGTCCCCTACTCTCTCCGCAGGGACTACAGCTGCAGAGTTTTACCCCAGGCTTGTATGCCAGGTCTGAGCTGAGTCTGGAGGGGACAAAGTGGCGTAGGGGGGAGAGGAAGCTCTCCCACACACTCACTGGGCCTGGGCTAGGACTGGATCTGGGGGTCCCCAGAACGTGGCAGAAATTCTCACTCAGTGGGTGGGGTGGGGGGTGTGCGGAGTGGTGGTGGGGACCCCAAGGAGGTGGAAGAGGACCTTACCCATGCTGCCCCTGGGTTTGGACCAGCAGGTCCCAGTGGCACAGTGTAGCTGGAAGTTCTCCCATACCACTGTCGAGTTTTACTTTTTGTGAGTTCTTTATATATTCTGGATATTAATTGTTTATTGGAATAATGCTTAGCAAAGTTCTTTCCTCCTTCTGTACTTTGTTGCCTCAATCTGTTGTTTCTCATGCAGTGCAGATGATTTCTAATCTGGTATAATCCCATTTATAGTTCTTGGTATTCTTTCTTGTACTAATGGTGAGGAACTAAAAAAGATTAGGAAATATGTTTTCTCAACGTAAAAGACTTCCTCCCTTCCCATGGCTATTGTTCTTTGTTCTAATGCAGATAGAAGGGACTTGTGTCCCTGTGAGTAAAGTTTTATTACCTCCTGTGCCCATAACGTCTTGCTGTGTCCAAGCATGGCCACCAAAGCACAAAATGGTCACAGTTGATGGTTACATACAATAATCCCGAGCTCCACCAGAGGGCGGGCTTTGTCCAAGTGCTGTAAAGTGAGCTCTGAGCAGCTTAGATGGACCCTGTTTCCCCGGAGCGGAGATGGTTCTTGTCCTTTCTGTATTGAAACCAAGAAGCGGCAGACTCCATTTAGCAGTTCAATGTTTCGTTTGCCCTGTCTGTGATTTAAATCTTAAAAAAATATTTCTCATTCTTTTTTTCTGCACATGAATCTATCTTACTACTACTTTTGCTCCCTTTTTTTTTCTCTTCACATCACATGGATGTCCTTTCTGTTTTGTTTTTTTTTTTCCCCTGTATTTTAGGGAAGGGTCTACAGGGTGTTCAGGGTCTCACTACTAGATCGGACTCATTGAGATCCGCCTGTTTACAGCCTCCCAAGAGCTGGGATTACAGGCATGCGCCACCACGCCCAGATTGACACCCCCCCCCCCCACCTGCAGGTACTTTAATCCCCTGAGCTGTTTGGCTGGACCTTGGATGTCTTTTCTGTTTGTTCCATCAAACCCCCGTGTTTCTCGTCCCCTTCTCTCCTTCGTCCCCCTCTTTGCTTGTTCTGCATGCAGTACCTTTAACTATTCATTGAATCTAAAAGGCTTCCAAATCGCTAGTTTTTTTTTCTTCCTTCCTATATCAATACTTAACTTTAAACAAGCTTTCAGAGATATGTGATTCTGTTCTGGTAGCTTGAATTATTAGGTACTTTTAAAAGTGATTTCTAGCTGGGCGTGGTGGCTCATGCCTGTAAACCCAGCACTCTGGAGGCTGAGGCAGGAGGATTTCTATGAGTTTGGGGTCAGCCTAGCCTGAAGTACAGAGCAAGACCCTGTCTCAGAAAGACAGAAAAAAAAAAAAAAAAGAAAAAAGAAAAGAAAAAGAAAAAGAAAAAAAGCGTTTGTTTGGTATTGGGGATCACATGCAGGACCTGTGCTTGCCAGGCAGGCACTTCTGCTGCTGACCTATCTCTCCGGCCCCTAAAGTGCATTTAAAAGTGATTTCTTTACATATTTATTCTTTGCTTTCCAAAATAATAGCTATCTTATGTCAAAATCTTATATAAAAAAAGAAAATGATGTTAACAGAATATTCAGATAGCTATTATTAAATAAGCTAAGACTGATTTATTCAGGGGTCTAAGGAGAAATGATGTGTTCTTTTTGTGTATTAAGTTTTTTGTTTTTTAATGTATTTAGTACAGGGACTACAGGGTCTCACTACACAGATCAGACTCGTAGTGATCCTCCTGTTTCTAGCCTTCTAAGTGCTGGGATTACAGGTGTGAGCCACCATTCCCAGTCCCAGTCCCAGTCTCAGTGTGCCCTGGGGGCAGGGCTGGCACGGCACGCCGGGGATCAAAGCCTGGCCGCTGTGCTCTGTCTAAGCAGGGGCTTTAATCCTCTGAGCCATGTTGCCGGCCCAGAGTATTCTGAAGTTTTTGTTGACAGAGAATTTCTTTGGTTGGATATGGCCTTAGAGTTTCAAAAATTACTTTTACTTGTTATTAAAGCAAATGTGTTCTGTATGTTTTAATGGTGTACGCAATTGTGCCCATTTCTTAGGTGAACCCTGTGATCCCACCTTTCTTCTGGGCTGCGCTCCCTGCAATGTGATCTGCTCCATTATTTTCCGGAAACGTTTTGATTATAAAGATGAGGATTTCCTTAACTTGATGGAAAAATTCAATGAGAACCTCAGGCTTTTGAGCTTGCCATGGATGCAGGTAGGGCTGGGAGCCCCCTTCTTACCAAGCCCTTCAGACCCTTTCAGCTGAGTTCACGGTTCTCTGAGCAATGAAGCAGGTGTTCGAAATCTAGACGTTGTGGATGACATAATATGGTAATTTTGAAAATTAGATTCCCGCTGTCATTAATGTTCTTCCATGTTTTGATTTACATTCCCTTTCATAGTAATATAAATAGTGTATGTTTTGTAGGTTTTAAGTGTTTTATAAAGTATATTTGTGAAATTGGTATTTTGCATCCCATGTAAGCTCAGGAGTCTCTTTTCCTTTAGTTTATGTTATCTAGTTTGGGCAGAATTTTCTTGAATGTGAGGGACCAAAGGAGGAGGGAGAAAGGGTGAAGGAGGGGGAGAGAAAAGGCAGAAGGAAGAGAGGAAAGCAAGAGAAAGGAGGCAAAAGTAAAGGGAGGGTGGAGCGGGAGAAGCTTCCTCCAGCTGTACGGGGCCAGGCACCCACCCTGTGTCACAGCCTTTCCTTGTTAAGCAGAGATGAGAAGAGAGCCGGTGTGAAAGCTTGGGGTCTCCCGGGCTCCTCTCTTAGCCCTTGTCTTGCCCTGGGGAGTCCCTAGCTTTTTAAATACATGTAACACATGTAAGTGCTTCTTCTTTTTTTATTTATTTATTTTTTGTTTTTGCGGAACCAGGGATTGAACTCAGGACCTTGCACTTGCCAGAGAAGCACTTATTCCACTGAGCCATCTCCCTGGCCCCTTTCTTCTTCTT